AAGTATAAGCTTTCCAGGTCCAATGAACAGATATATAAAGATCAAAGAAAAAAAAACAACTTTTTTCCATGTGCTAAAGGCAGGGGGCAGCAGGCCAGGGCACCCCTGCACAGGCAGGGCTCGCCCCACGCTCGCCCACGATGACACCAGCTCTCCCGCCAGGGGCACCAGGCGCCCCAGTAATCACGAAGGTGGCAGCCCTTCCGGAGCCCAGCCCAGGTCCCATCAGCCATTTTCACTCTAAGGCTGTGGCCAGAACCGGAAAGCATGAGGATGCGGTGTGGAAAGGAAAGATGCCGAAAATGAAAAATCAGAAGAAACCCAAGATCAGCCCTTGAGCTGCCATAGCCCTGTCCGCCCGCCCTGGGGGGGTGGGGGGGGGCAGAGCAGAGTCAGGTCCCCAAGAGCTGACATGAAGACGGGAAAAGGTGGCGCCAGGTCTGTGTCTGGCCGCGGGGCTGCTTCAGGCCGCTGCTCCCCCGCGCTCTGTCAGAGTCCCCGCCGCTCCCGCGGAAAGTGGGGGTCTTGCCGGCAAACCGGTGGGTGAGTGGACGTGCACGTGGAGGGGGAAGGGGCTCCCTCCTCCGGCACCTCCAGAAATGGACTCTAAACACCTTAGGGCTACATGGCCGAGCGGAAACGATAAACTCTTAGGATAAAGTCAGCGGACGCGGCTTGGGCCAGGCCTTCCAAGACTCCGGAGGAAGCAGATGAATTCGACCCGGCGCAGGTGAAAACCCTCCGGTTTTCGGAGGATGTTAGGAGGGGAAGGAGTCACACAGGGCAGGAGGCACCGAGGCCTGCATGGCACCGCAGGGGGCAGCGATGCTGGGGAACTCGGGGCCTCCCTGATGCCCTCGGGGTTAAGTCTTGGTGCTATGACCACTGCAGCAAAAGTTCAATCCCCGGCCAGGGAGCTGCCCACACAGTGCAGCAGACCTCTCCTGGCTCGCCCGCTGCTCCCCTCAGCAGTGTGTTTCAGTCCGTCTGCCTGTTCTGTTCCCCACTCTGTCTCTGGGGAATCCTTTCACCCCCACCGGCACCTCTGGCCTGCACCCCAGCTCTTGTATGCATAAATAAATAAATTTTTAAAAATAAAATAAAATGGGTTGCAGCTGGGGAGGCGCCTGGCTCAGAGCACATGAGAAGCGCCAGCATTGCCCCTTGGGACACCTGGAGCCCCTGGAGGGCTAGTGGGGAAGGACAGGCGCTGTCAAGGGTGGGCTGACAGGGTGGATCCACGCGCACGCAGCTGGTGGGATGGAAAATGGGGCGCCGCGTGAACACAGGTGGGTGGTGCTTCCAAAAGCTGGGGAGACTCGCGGCCCCGTGGCTTCCCTCACAGGCGCACCCGGGGCACAGCAGTGGTGTCACGGAAGCCTCCACAGGGCGTGGCAGGCAGCCCCACTCATGACCGGGAGGTGGAAACCACCAGATGCCAGTGTGAGTGGCGGCCCCCAGTGGCCTCTCGCAATAGCGGGGTCCTGGGGCAGGTTAGCAGGGAGCAGCGGCTGGCCGGGGAGGCGTCTGGCACAGTCTGCAAGTCTGCAGAGGAGGCTCCGGGGCCGCATTTCTGGAAGGCAGGCCCAAGGCACATGCAGACTGCCCACGCCGCGCATGACCTCAGGCAAGGACCCGAGTAGCCCCGCCAGCGGGGTGGGCTCCCTGGCCAGGCATCCAGAGGGTGAGTCCCATGGCCGCGAGGCCATGTTTGCACAGCGTGTGTGTGCTGAAGCCAGAGAACTGCACCGTTTAAATAGGTGTGGAGCAGCGGTTGAGTGCTGGGCTGCGAGGCTGCCGGCAGCCTCTGCAGCACCGGTTCGTTCCCCGGCCGCCGGCGAGGGTCCCGCTAAATAAATAAATAAATAGGTGTGTGGCTTGTTACTGAGTAAAGCTATTATTAAAAAAAAAAAAAAAAAAAACACACAGGGCCCTTGACAATAGCCTTCCTTGGTTACGCACATCCAGGGGGCTGGTAACGCCTGGAACACAATGGCTTCCCCGTGTGTCTCCCCGCGTCCCAGCCTCTGGGCGTTCGGCGCAGGATCACGTCGTGGTGGTGGCGTCTGGAGGAGGAGGAGGAGGTGGCCCCTGACCCCGGCCTGCTGTGCGACCTTCGGCAAGTCACTTAGCGTCTCCGGGCTCTAGACAGCAGATGTGAGAAAATGAGAGGCCAGAGCGCAATAAAGCCTCCCACTTCGGAATTCCATGGTCGGGATTAAAAGCGGCACATGTAATGTACATGTCATCACAGAGCAAAAGGCAGTGCACCTGCCTGGTTTTTTAACATACAACAAAACGTGCCGGTGGCCCCTGTGTGACGGACGCTCGGCCTGCCGCTGCCGTGCCTCTGACTCTTCCACCGCAGGACACACAATTCTCTTCTTGCCACCACCAAGTTGTTGTTGCTTTAAGTGTTGTATGCATAGATTACAATGTGATAACTTAATAGCAATACAAGTCTGCTACATCTATAAATACAGATGCTAGACATTTGTAAGTTTCCCGTGATGAGGGGAGAAATCCGAGGCACATGGTGTTTTTAAAGTCGGAATTCCTCTGCAGAATTAAGTTCTCTTTGTTTAAACGTGTTCTTGGTTTTCAAACGGAATAGACTCTTGGCACGACACGTCGACTCCCCTAAAGCGTGCACACGTGCTGCTTGACTTAAGCCGCGGGAGGGAGGGGCCCGGACATTGTCCCCAATAACAGGGACATAAAGTGTCAGAAAAGCACGTCCTGCTACGGGTTGTGTGCAAAGCTCGGTTGCTGGCAAGAGGCCTGCAGCCAGGACAAGATGAAAGACATGGCAAAATAATTTGTGACGGACACGCAGGATGGTCCCGTGAGGGCAGCGGCAGAGCAGAGACCCTCCTGCTACTGGGGTCTCCACACTGGGAAACGGCCTCACAAGGGAGCGCCTGTGGGCGCCCTGGAAAAGCTTTCTTTACCCAGGGGTAAAGTTTTAGGGCATTGTCTCCTTTTGAGCTTGACCCCAAAATTGTGTGTTTTAAGAAATTGTTACAGGACAAGGGGAGGGGAACACCCCAAACCTGCCCGCTCTAAATGGGTTCTGCCCTCCACATCGAGACAAAACATATAAGACCTTTAATGGAAAGGAACGTTCATACAATCAGTGTGCAAGACAGAAAAGACAGAAAATATAGATTCCAAATCAAGCACCCAAGTTACCCGTCCCCTCGCGGGTAAAAGTTCAGCCAAGCAGGGTCGGCCCACAGCAAGGCCTGAAAGCGGCCACAGTCCAAAGCACCTCCCGTGGAGACCCACAGAAAAGGGTCAGAAATATCCACACAAGTCTGGGAGGAAAAGAGCAAAATCAAAACCAAGATAAACGCCGCCACTGTCCCCTCCCCACGGGGCTCACCCACGTCTGTTCCAGCCTGTTCAGGACCGAGAAGCCAGCGCAGCTTCTTCACGTGGCTCTGCCCCATGGGCCTCCTCCAGGCTCCTCCTTGCTCCCCATCCTGCTGCCTTCCTTCCCCAGTCTCCTCTCCAGCTTCTCCTCCTCCCTGCTGAGCTCCTCCCTCTCGTGAGTGGGGCCAGGAACCTGCAACCTCCCCTTTTCCTGGGGATCCCCTGTTATAAAATGAATCCCAAGAGAATTGATTGACCATGTAAAAAATTTTAAATATGGCTAGTGTGACGGTGGATCGGGGAGCTGGGGGCATCAGCCTCCACGTGTTCCTGATGGATGGCTGACCCAGGGGCCACAGTGGGCCCCAGCTGGCCCCAAGGATGGTGCTCACTGTCTGGAGGGAGACAGGCTCCCCCGTGGCAGGAGGGGCCAGGAGACACCTGCCCTGCCTGCGTGGCTTGTGCGACGGAGGACCTATGGCAGGGCGGCCCTGTAGTTGCCAGTTCTGCAGCGCTGAACACAGGCGGATTAAGAAGGAAAGGAAGGTCCTTGTAACTCAGGAGCTGAGGCTCGGCTTCTCCACTGCCTTTGTTATTTAAATATCCTGTTGTGTAAGTATAAAGACAGGAAGTCTTCACACAGACCTCACAACAGCACCCATATTGGGTTTCAGATGAGCAAGCCCTGGTGTTGGGGACTTCATACATATTTAGCTTTCTCAAAATGCTAAAAAAGTACTGCATTTTCTCCGGGAGAAACGCTGCCATCTTTCAGAAGCAGCTCTGACCGTACTGCCTAAATACTCCCCAGTTAATAATTGCCACTTGGGCCTGAAACTGTAGACTTTAATTATTTAGCTTCCTGCTTTACTTGTGTTTCTTTCAAAACGCTGAAATCGTGCCTTCCTGGGGCAGGTGGAGTGAAAGGACCAGGGAAATGCCCTGCGCTGCTCCTGCCCGGCGGGGTGTCCTGCTGGTCAGCTCTGGGGGCGGCCGGGGCTCTGCCTGCAGGCTGCCCTGTGCTCGGCCCCCTGGGGGTGTCCCCCAGCGCCCACCACCCTGGACTCCTCGGAGGGGGTGTTGAGAAGAGCTCCTTCCTCAGTGAACGTGGGCTGGGTCTAGCCCGCCTGGCTCCGGCAGGCTTGTTTTTCCATTAAATACACTCGGCTGCATTTGGAATCCAGATCTCAGGGTCCACACGTTTTCCTCAACGCGGGCGCCGGGAGGAACTTTGGCTGGGAACACAAAACCGGTTAGTAACACCCGCAGGGGCTGACTGCCCGGCTCTCCCGGGCGCATCAGGTAAAGTAGATGAAACGTGGGTCAAATGGCGCCGGGCGCGGGGCTCGGCTGGGGGTGCACCCGCCCTCCATGTTATGGACACGCGCCATTTTAGACCATGGTCTCAATCTGTGACGGGAAAGATGCTCTTTTAATCGCCCTGCGGGAAGGCCTGGGGGGCGGGGAAGTGGAGTTCGCAGGCACCTCCCCGCCCCACCACGCTCCTGCCCTGCCCGTCCGCCCGGCTGGGACCAGCCTCCATTTTCTGCTGTGCCAGGGGCCGGCCCCGCACACACGCGCGTCCCGCCGCAGCCAGCGGGCCTGAGAGAACCGCGGCCCCGACTTGAACACGCGAATGTGGCTCCAGCTCACATCAACACGTTTTCTTCTCGTTTCTCTTAGAAAGATGACACAATTCTGATGTGCTTTAAAAAATAAAATAAGTGAAGCATCTTGGGGGTCTGCTCTGTTCCACTCTCGCTCCCCGGCTGGCAGCGTCCGCTCGGCACCTGAATGACTTCATGGAAGACCTGCTGCATGTGGAGGGGCCCGGTAAGTTTCAAGAAGGACACAAACTCCCTGACCTGCGGCCTCATTTCTCGTCACCACCCTCACCACCCTCGGGTGAGGCGGTGGGAAGAGCATTTTGAAAGAGGAGCGCATATCTAAACCAATCACTTTAAAGAGCTGTTCATGTGTGACTTACTCAGAAGGCCCCGGCGGGCCTGTCCTGTGTGGAGGGCGGGACCCGGCCCTCTCCGGGCACTGGCCAGTGGCTTAGGCACTGCCGAAGGGCACGTCACACGCGTGGACCGTGTGGTCAGAGACAGCAGCGTGGTCCCCAGTCAGCTTTTATGATTTATCTGCTTTGCTGATTCCTCGGGATTAGGGAGACTGGCCACAGGCTGGCCACGTCGCGGGCTGCTTCGGCGTCTCAGCTTGAACTCCGATTCTGGGTTTCTCCCGACATGGGGAAAGACAAGTCAGGCCTGCATGTGCAGACGTGTCCTCACACCTGGGCTGGGCGTCCGGATGCTCCTCGCCTTCTGCTCTTTCTCAGCACCTGCTGAGACTTGGGGTTAGACACCTGACCTCTTGGCATGGCCTGGCCCGTCGGCATGGCCCGGCGGCTCGGGCTCCGTCCAAAGCTGCCCTTGGGCGGGGGTTCCAGCCTCTGCCGCACCCGGAAAGAGCAGCTGCCTTTTGTGAAGCTACAGGTGGGGTCAGCGCCAGCGCTACCGTGGAGGGAGGCCCTCCGTGTAAATGGCGCCCTGCGCCCCAGCTCTCCCGTGAAGCCAGACGGGCAGGGCAGTCCAAGCTGGGATCACGTGTCTCCCTGGCTCTTCCGAGAGACAGGAGCGACCGGGAGAAGAGCGGCGTGATGGTCAGCACACGGAAATGCCACCCAGACTGCACAGGAGTTCATGATCGATTTACATGACTTCGAGTCATGACATACCAGCCCCCAAATGCGAAAGGGCTGGTGCCGGGGAGCAGCCAGAGGCTCCTCACCACGGGGCCCTCGCCCTGACGTGGGCACTGTGTCTCCCACGAAGCCCCCGCCAGGACCAGGGCCGTCCTCCGGCAGCAGGTCTCTGCTATGGGGGTCCCTGTTTTCACCTAAATGAGGTGATCAGAAGCGATCACAGGTTCTTGTACCCGGGCGAAGCGCTTTTGCAACTATGGCACTAACGAGAGCGGTGTCTGTTGTCCCTGCTGAGAAGGGGCGTGACTGTGCAAAAGGAACCTGTGTTGGGGTGACCAGCTGCAGGCCAGCTCCCCTGGCTCGGTAAAGCCCCTTTCCTTCTTGAGGGGGCGTCTTTCCAGGTAACCTCCCTCCTGCCATTTTGGCGGGGTTAGATTTTGTGGCCTTTTTGACGGGAGTACAAGCTTGGCTCTGAGACTTCCTTTTGCGCTGCCGTTTGGCCGGAGATGACCACTCTGGTCCCGGGCGTGGCTGTGCTGGGCACATCCGCCCCAGGAGAGTGGCCCCACGGGCCAGGGGCTTCTCCTGTGGCCGAGCACCCCTCTGGGGTGGCAGCCCCGGCTCACGCCCTGCACCCTCCTGGGCCTCCCCCCAGGCCTGCAGGGCCTCAGGAAGGGTTCACATGCTCTAAAGGGCCCCAGGGCTTCTGGCAGCTCAAGTGGCTATGCTGATTCTAAGCATCTGATGCAATGCATTGTTAACAGCCTTCAGGACAAGCCAGCTATAAATCAACCTTCCTGGCTCTCTTTTCAGATCACTGAGATCTCAGCCGTGGAAACAGGAGACTCAGAGGCATGTTTGGGAGTGACTTTTTCAGGGCGTGGGACTCTGGTCTTTCATGGGGAATCAGGAGGCCCGCCCACGTGCCGGCCAGCGCCCTAGACCTCCGTGGTGCACAGGCAGGCGGCAAGGGCGGGCGCTGGTCTGGCCACCGGGCTCTGGGTGTCTTCGGCGACTCCTTCCCCACCTGGTTTGAAATGGAGCATCTGTGCCTTTCCTGGGCACTGGGCATCCACATGGATCGGACAGGCTGGGCCCCAGAGGCCTCGCAGCACAGAAAGTGAACACCCGAGCGCCTGTCAGTGTGACGAAAATGTCACAACCTTGTCATTTACAGGGCAGGACTGACATTACCGTGATGTTACCAGGGCACCTGGCGAAGATGAAGTCACAGCCTCGGTCCCCACTCGGATCAGAAAACCAGACCCAGAGCTGGGCCTCCCCACTCGCCAGGGAACAGGTGTCACTCTGCGTGGAGAAGCAGTCGTCCACGACCAGCCACGCCTACCACGTCCTGCCTCCTGCCTGGGGCCTCCTGCGCCGGCTGGCAGCCACTCAGGACTGTCTATCCAGTTTCCTCTACTTTATAAACACAGCTCCAGGCTGCAGGCGTTGCACCATCAAAAACCCTGGAAGAGCTGGGAGACGTCAGTATTTTAAAAAGGCCAATCCCTCCAACAGTAAATGGGCCCAGTGTCTGGGGGCAGGGGAGGGGGCTTGAGCTGGGCAGAAGACGAGGTCTTCATATCCAGAAGGGAAGACTTGCTAGAAGTGCGAGCTAAGGAGGTTAAATTTAGAGAAGGAAAATTAGGTTGATGTTTTTTTTCAAACAGTGATTTCTGTTACCTGGAAACAACATCTAAGGAGAAGTTAAAAATCACGTTAGTTCTTTTAAACATAAGGGGGAAATGAAGGTAGAAAAGGATCTTCAGGAGAAGAATCACTGTCTTTAAAAATCTGTGCCATTAGAATTTTCTTGAATAAATACTAAAAAGTACTCAGCGACTGTGGCGTCATGACGAATGTCCCTTGTAAATATTGTCGTAAAAGTCCCTGCCCCGCCAGGTCCTCACCCTCCTCTGTCCAGGGCTGGGGTGTGCAAGGCTGCTGGGAGCAGCTAGGGGGTTCTCCAGCCTTATGGTGAATGGAATTGGACAGCTGATGAGAACAGGGTTGGGGGACGCACGCGTGGCTGGAAGTGGCCACCCACATGCAGCCCAATGACCTTGGTGAGGAAAGTGACCGAGACTCCTCTCTCGGGGTCGGGGAGGAGCGCCGTGCCCCAGCCCTCACTGGTCCTCATGTCCAGGGCTCTGCTCACACCTCATTCTCCAGAGCAACAAAGTGGTCGTCCCCACGCAGGCGCTGCAGCCCAGCTTTGCACATGCCAGCCTTAAACTTAAAACCCCCGGCAGTTTACAATGAAAATGTTGATCTGTTTGCTTGTCCACTATTTATATCTGATCAGAGACCCGCTAAGCAAATCAAATGCATCATTAAAAGAAATAGAAATGAAACAAAACAAAAAAAAAATGGTATTGAGACAGGCAGAACCGACACCTGTTCCTCCGAGTCTCAGATGGTCACTTTCTTATCTGAGCAGCCGCCACAAAGAACTGTGAATCGATGAACTTATTAATTCTGGAAACCAGTGCCTCATGAAGGCCCGTGGCCCTCCACCCGACCGGGGCCGCTGTGAGAGCAAGGCCGCTCGGTGCCCGCGGCCTCCACTCGTTCTGCACAGGGCCGGGCTCCTGGGAGCAGCCGCCCGCTGTGTCTTTACAAGAGCCACCTGCAGGCCTCACGCGCCTGCCCCTCTCCCCTGCCACCTGACAGGGGAGAGGCCGAGTCGCGCCAGCCCCACCTGATGCTTGTTTAGTTAGTAATTCTACCTCCTGGGATGTTCCCCTTCACTGGGCACAGGGCTGCCCCAGAGCCCGTCGCCACGGCAACGGCAAACACCACCCTGGGCAGAGTCTGGGGCCCAGCTCAGAGCAGCCTGGGCAGGGCGCGGGGTTCGGCGGGTCACACGTCACTGCGGGATTCAGAGATGGAGGCGGCCAAGGAGCTGCGCCGGGATGTGGCTCACATACGCACGAGCGTGCGGGAAGAGCAACTGGAACCTTAAAAGACGTGGATGGTGCTCCGTAAGCAGGAGTGACAGCGGCTACGGCAGCGAGAGCTCAGGGGCGCTCAGGCGCTGAGTCACCCGGGGCCAGTGGAACCGAAGACTCGCAGCCGGCGCTGTCGGGCCCAGGAGGGGGTCCTCACGCTGTGACCCCCGCCAGGGCTCCGACCACATGCTGAGGCCCCCAGACGCACTTTAGAAACTTCTGGTTTCCCCTCTTGGCTGCGCGTGTTCCATGACGAACACTTACACTGGACGCAGCCACCCGCGGGCCTGTTGCAGCGTTCATTGGGGAGCTGCGGGACGGGTGTGAGTGGGGGGGCAGGGCTTTGTGTCTGCAGGGCCCGTTAGAGAAGCAGCCAGCAAGCCCAGTTGGGCTGGGGCAGGAGCGGCCTCTGCCCGGGTGCCAGCGCGGGCCGCAGCGCCATGACTGGCGTCCACGCAGTCCCCAAACCTCCCCAGCGATCACGCGGCTGCCTCCCGCCGACACTGACCTGAGCGGTTGGGAAATAGAAAGACATGGATCAGGTTGCGTGTCCTGGGCCGGAGACGGTGACTCGGAGGCCCGCCGGCCACCTCAGAGCCGGCGCCACAGGTGCTTCGAGCTGGAGGCGAAACTGAATCCACAAGGAGGCGATTATATCCCCAAAGTGGGCGCAGGTCTCAGCTCCCCGACTCGGGGCGCTTTCCTCAGGGGGCAGATGAGGGTGGGGCTCGGCTGTGGCCCCTCCCGACTTGGGGGCGTGGGGAGTCACCCGCTTGGGACCCCAAACCCTGCGCTCTGGCCCCCAAATCTCTCCAGACCCTCAGTCTTCACTTCTCAAACTGCAGCGCAGGTGGCGAACATCGGCGCGTCGCCCTGCAGCCCGGGCGGGGGGTTCGCCGCTGGTTAGGACAGCTCAGGGGGGAGCCTCCCGCCCCAGCGTCCCCCCAAGGCCCACAGCGCAGGGAGACAGCAGCGGCCAGCGCCTCGACCTCCCGGCCCCCGCCGGCGTCTCTCGCGGCCTCCTCCTCCCGCTTCCGCTCGCCGTGGCCGCCGCAGCGCTGACCCCTGGCTCAGGCGTGCCCACTGCCCGCGCACCCGGCGCAGGGGCCCGCCACGGGCACGCGTGCCCCACCCCACGCGCCTTCTGCGTTAACCAGACCAGGGCCGCAGGCGGTGGCCACAGAGGCCAGTGGCTGGAGCCGAGCGACTTCGGTTACCCCTCACCCTGCCACGGTGCTGCCCGGCGCTGCCCGGCGGTCACCAGCCATCTCCCCGCTCCCCGGAGGAGCTGCCTTTGGACCCGCCACCAGGGATCAGGACCGGCCCAGCCCCCGGCTCGCCCGCGGTGCGCTCTCGCGGGAAACGTCCTCTTCAGCGTCCAAGCCACGGCCCCTGCCCCGCGGCCCCTCAGGACTCGCCCTGCCGTGGCCGGAGCCCGCGGGCGGGGACGGCTTGGGGCTTCTTGGCCCGTCACCCAGCCCACCGACGCGCGGGTGCGGGCCGGGCGTGCTCCTCGCCCCGTGCGTGCCGGTGCTCGGGCCAGGCGGACGCAAACGGCAAATGGCCACGCGTGGAGCTGCTGCGCCCTCCGGCCGCCTCCCCGCGCTGCTGGTGTAACAGGGGGGTCCCCAGGAAAGGGGGAGGTTCCCTGCCCCACCCAAGGGAGGGTGGAGCTGAGCAGGGAGAGGAGAAGCTGCACAAGAGACTGAGGAAGGAAGCAGGATGGAGCCAGGAGACCTGGAGGAGGCGCGTGGAGCCGAGAGACACGTGAAGAAACTGCGCTTGTCTTTTGGTCGTGGACGGGGTGACACAGATGTGGGTGAGACCCGTGGGGAGGTGACCATGGCGGTTTTTGTCTTGATTTTGCTCTTTTCCTTCCGGGCTTGTCCGGTTGTTTGTGACCCTTTTCTGTGGGTCCCCACTGGAAGATGCTTTAGACTTGTGGCAGGCCTTGGGGCCTTGCTCTGGGCCGACCCCATATGGATGGACGTTTACCCACGAGGGGACGGGCAACTTTGGGTGCTTCATTTAGAAACTAGACTCTTTGCCTTACCTGTGTTGTTTCCTAGTTTTATTAAAGTTCCTTCCCATTAAAGTCTCCTATGTCTTGTGTGGATGCGGCGGATGGCAGAGCCCATGTGGAACAGGCAGGTTTGCGGGGCTTGGGCTGCCCCCATCCCTGCCCTATAACACTGGGACTGAGGGGCCCGCGAGACCCCGCCGCCCCCCCCCGCCCCGCTGCCCCAGGGAACCTTCCAGAGCCGCGATCTGGGCCCGGGGCCCGGGGTCCCTCTGAAAGAACCTGGACCTCCCGGAACCTCCATTTGCGTCAAAAACGGTCAAACGCGGCGGGTCCACGCGGCCTGACGTTCCCCGGCGCATCCCGCGGGCCGCAGAGCGCAGGCGCCCCCGCCGGGTCGGCCGGGCGCCCTGACGGCCCCGGGAGCGCGACTGTGACGCCAGCGCCCGTCACGGCCGCGCCGCGCGTCCTGCGCTCGGGCTGGCGGCGCCCGGAGACCGTTAACCCGGCGCCTGCGACACGGAACGGGTCTCAGAGAGCCGGTGTCAGCCCGGCCCCGCCTCGCGTCTCCCGCCTCCAGCTCGGGGTCCCCCCGCCCCCCGTGCGCGCGTGAGCGGCTGAGTGACCGACCCCCCCGCCCCCCCATTCGCCTGTGGAGGACCAGAGGCCGCGGCCCTGCTGGGCACAGACCCGGCTCTGCTTTGCGCTCGCCCCTCACCCGGCAGGACGGACAGACCCTCCAGGGTGTCCGGTGCCTCTCTGCCCATCCCCGAGCCTCCCCCCTGCCCCCCCGCACCCCGCAGGCAGTAAGTGGGGGCAGGATGGGAGCCGGGTCTTGGAGAACCCCACTTTCTTTTTTTTTTTCCTAAAAAGATTTATTTATTTATGCATAGGAGAGCTGGGGTACAGGTCAGAGATGGCGGGTGAGAGGACTCCCCAGAGGCAGAGCGGGGAGCAGAACAGGCCGATCCACTGAAACACGCTGCAGAGGGGAGCAGCGGGGAGACGGGAGAGGTTTGCCGTGCCATGTGGGTAGCTCCCTGGCAGGTGCTGCAGGCTGCAGACAGCTTCACAGTGCTGAGACTAACCCCTGCGCCCCCAGGGAGGCCAAGAACACCCACTTTCCACTTCCAGACACACCTGCTTGGCCCAACCCTCAGGCTGCAGGTGCACCTGGGGGCCTGTGACACCCCCACTTAGCAAATGTTTCTCCTTCCTGCATTTGGGGGTGTTCCAAGTTGCAGGCACCCCTGCAGCCACCAAACTGCTGGCTGTCCCTGGGCTCTTGGGGTCAGCACCCCTGCCTGGGCAGCTCAGGGGAGACCGGCTTTCCACGTTGAACTACTGTGTCTTTGCTCCAGCAGGTTACCTGGCCCGGACAGCAGTGCTGCCTGGTACCTGGATGAACGCACTCAGAGTCAAGGAGACCTCAACGGTGCAAGGGGGACATGAGCCCCTAAACCTGAGGCTGAGTCCCAGTAGTGTGTGCACAGACCCCCTCCCCAGTTCCCCCCTCCCCCAGGAAGCCCTCATGAGCAGCCTCCCCTCCTGCTGCCCAGGGGTCAAGGCTTAGGGCCCTGGCCACATCCTGACCCGCCAGGGGCCTCCAGGCCCCTGCAGGGGGAGGGTCCTCTGGGCGGGCTGCGGCTTTGCCACTACACCACGCCCTGCGCAGAGCCCTCGCTGCCTACCTGCCAAGGGGGTGAGTAGATGCGTGTTCGTTCTGACCAGCCAGGCTGTGTGGGCAGCAGCTGGACTTCTGTCACGTGGGCAGGGTGGCGTCATCTGCCACCAATTTGTGAAATTACTTTATTAAACATTCAGTTGCTGGATGAAAGGGCTCCTGGCGCCCTGTGCTACTGAAACGTAGCGCCCTGCAGGGGCTGGGCCTCTGCAGTCATCACTACCCATTAGCAGCCGCTTGTGAACCCGTTTATCAACTCACTCCCCCGCCCCCCCCCGCCCCCCCCCGCCCCCCCATCCCCCTCACCGTGACCAGGCCCCAGAGTGGCCTGCAGGCCTGGTGGGTCCCCTCAAGGGAGGCACAGCAAGGATTTTAGAGCTCCCATAAATCAGGGAAGGCGTGGGGAGGGGAGTGTGGGGGGACTTGGTGATGGCTGGTGGGAGGCCTGCCCCAGGCCTGAGCGGTCAGAGGGCTCGCTAGTGTGTGCCAAGGGCCTGGAGTTTCTGCTTGTCCCCCACAAATGGCGCCTGGGGAACAGAACACGCAGCGCACGGTGAAAAGCAGCAAAGTGTGAAAAGAGGGGTTTGACCTGTTCCCACGCCAGCCAGCGGGTCCCGTGGGCAGGGCGGTGACGCAGCTGCCCGCCTCCAGCGGCCGCCACCTCCCAAAAGCGTCTGAGGCCACCCTTGGGTCACACGACAGCTTTCCAGAGGCATGGTGCGTGTGTGCGTGTCTGTGTGCACACGTGTGTGCCCGTGGCTGTGTGCACATGCGTGTGTGTTAGGGGAGTCAGGAAATGACCGAACTCTTTTTGAATACTTAAACAAACTCGCGAAAACCATCTGCAGAAAGAAGTAAATTGTCGGGATAGCCCAGAACTAGAAGGACAAGGTGCCTGGACGTGGAGCCTCACGCTCAGGCCTCGGGAGGACACGCGTGCCCAGAGCGCCCCCAGGCCAGTCCGAGGCCGGTCCCCTGCCCCTCTAGCACCTGTGCCCCGAGGCCTCCGGGGTCGATTGCCGCAGCCGCGTCTCTCCCCCAGCACCCCAACTCCAGGACGTCTCAACTAGAGCTGGGCCCGTGCCCCGAAGGGCTCGGCCAGCACGGGCAGGAGGCCCGGGCCGTCTCCCGCCGCGTTTGGGCAGAAGGGGCGCGGGTCAGGGCCCATCCGCTCTCACACGGCTGGCAGCGGCTCCCAAGGTCCACGCCGAGCAGGGCGCCTCTTCCTGGCGCTGCCGGGCTGGCAGCCCCGCGCTTGTTCTGTCCCCTGCAGGGCTCCCCGGGGCCGCCCCCCTCCGGGTCTCTGGGGGACGTCCTGACTCCCACGCTGGGCGCCCCGGGTCTCGCGGCCGCTGCACCAGGCCACAGCCCGCCCTCGAGGCAGAGCAGGAGAGACCCCCGAGGCCCACGCCGTGGTGAAAGGCAGCGGCGATGGTCAGCGCCCTCCCACCCCACCCGCCGGCACAGGGGCCGAGCTGAGCAGGCGGCTTCGCCTGTCGTGTGTTCTCTTGGTCTCGAACACGCCTTCCGAAGAAAACCCATGGCGTGGTGCAGAGACGCGCTCCTTCTCCGTGGAAATGTGTCCAGAGCCGGGGACCCGGCCGCGGCCTGATTCATACCATCACCTTTATCACGGGCTGCGCCGCCCTCCGCTCACGGCCCTGGGGGTCGTGGCGACCCTGGGCACCTGGGGGAGACAGCGCCAGGGGCCAGCGAGCTGCCCCGGGAGGGAGGGCGGAGGGTCGTTCTGCTCTGTGTGTTGCTGTGAGGCCGCGCCTGGGAATCCCTTCTCTCCCCCTTGTTCCACGAGGGCGTCTCCCTCCTCCAGCGACGCGCGGGGGAGAAGAGGCCTCGCGGAAGCAATGGCAAGGCTGCTGCAAAAGCAGGGAGACGGGGTCGAGCAGGGTTTAATTGTACCCCGTCTGCTGTGGCCTCTCGAGGGAGCCCCACGCCGCTACGCAAGGGATCTGGAATTCGAATCCACAGCGGCCGTGGGACCTGCACTGCCAGCACCCTCGGAGGCCGGCGCCCACGCGGCCCACACGGGGTGGGTGGCATTGTCCACTCACGTTCCCGCTCTCCTGGGAGTGGACCCTGCGTCCTCCGGCCATCCACGCCACCCGGGGGACGCCGCCTCGCAGCGGTCTGACAACCGCCCCGTGGTCTCTGCGCCGGCCCGGGCCCTGCGGAAGAGCCGCTCTGACGCCAGGCCCCCGGCGCCCGGAGCCCGGGGCGAAGGCAGCGCGTCCTCTGGTAGATGCTGATGGAAGTGGACTTAAACTTAACAAGCCCTATTAACTACACACTTGGGGGTTCAACAGCTGCTGAGCAAAAATTTCCCCACTGTGCTGTGATCAGGCGGTGGGAGTCGGCGCGCATACGTTGTTGGTCTACGGAAAGCTGCAGGTCGTCAGAGGAGTTCCCGGCCTGTGTGTGCAACGGGTGAAAATACGAGTTGGTGTCGGCAGCTGGCGCGGTGCGGCTCGGCGCTGCCCAGGCCCCTGGGGTGGCGCGCGGGGTGGTAACCAGGAGAGCGAGGCCCGAGAGACGCGCAGTCTCGGGCTAGGAGCACCGAGAGGCCACACGGCACCTTGCCTTGCACCTGCCCTTTAACAGGCAATTATTCTCCGCATCGGGGGCGCCCGGGGAGGACGGCCCAGCGCGGCACACACTGCTCGGCTGCCGGGAGGACACAGGACCGGCAGCCACAGCCCGCGGGCTCCTGGCCCCGCCGACTCCGAGTGGACACAGCCATGAGGACACAGCCGCGAGGACACAGCCGCGAGGGCACAGCCGCGTGAGGAGCACGTGCCGGGAGCACTGTAGGAGCTCTTGCTGCTGGCGGCGGCGTCTCCACCTGTCGTCTGTCTGTCTGTCTGTCGTCCTTCTGTCTACGGTTAACCCTTGAGCACATGGGCTTGGACGTGCAGTGTCACTTACACACAGATTTCCTTGTGAACAGACGGTGTGAACGTGGGGTGCAGACCCGTGCACTAGTGCGCAGCACTTACCGTGCCACCCGGGAAGCGTGTCTTCCCGCGGGAGTGAGTCTTTCCTCGGCCTGCTTGACGGCAGACTCCAGTTCAGGACACACAAACTTACAAGCGAGTTAATGGGCTGTTGGTGCCGCCAGCAGGGCTTCCAGTGACCAGCAGAGTGTTCGTAGCTAACACTAGAGTTAGTGAGCGTCTACAGTTACACACGCGCCCCCAGCCTCGTGGGTGTCGGTGTGTACACGTATGTAACGGGCCTCGGGCCAGGGCCGAGGCGCCCCTCCTGGGAGGGAGGGCTCTTCCTGTGTAAGTGATGACCAAGGAAGACCCCACTTCCTTAGCCCCATCTGGCCCCCAGCGCCCCCCACAAGCATGTTCCCCTGGTTTCTTACAGGGCAGCGTTTTCTCACCCAGGACGACTCCCTCCCCGCCCATCCTGGCTATGGGTGCAGGCACCGCGGCTCCTGGCGCATAGGCCAGTCCAGGATGACCGCCCAGCCTCCAGGTGGACACCCAAGGCTGGCATCCGACCCCAGCGTGACGGGACAAGCTTCCAGCAGTGTCCTCGTGGAGAAGGCGCGTGTGGGAAGCAGACCCCGCCGTGGGTGCTGGGCCCGCCCAACTTGAGGGGCTCCGCAGGTGGAGGAGGAGCAGGCTCCACCGAGGTGGGTACTCGGGGGCCTCAGTCCCTTCCCATCCACTTTGCCTTTGCGAGCTCAGTTACAGCCCGCGCAGGACGGGGGCTCCGCCTCGGTGTCCGGCCGAGAAGAGCCCCCACGGGCCTCGTTCGGATGATGACCCGCCTCCCGGATTGCATTCTTTCATATAAATGTTGAGGCCCTTAAGAGTCCAGCTTGAATTTTGATTGATACGGTCTGACTTTGTAGAATAATTTGAGGATTATTGAAAGCATCTAAGCTATTAAGTAATCTTGCCCGAGGGTGTTCAAATATCCTTGGAATTTGTTCAAATCCTTGATAACTATATCCTTTAACTTTCATATTGAAATAATCTCCAGTTTATACAAAGCTGCAAAGGTCCCCAAGGTCCCCACATGCCTCTCCCTAGCTGCCCTGCCAGGAAAGCGACACGGAAGCCGCAAGCCGCGGGGGCCACCCCGTCCAGACCCACTGGCGGCTCCTCCTGTCTGGACCGGCGCTGTCAGGCTGTGCGGTGCCGCCGTGCCCGCGGCCTCCTCTCGCTGGGACACCGCGCGCGTCTAGGCCTTTGCAGATTCAGCCCCAGGGAGGTACCGCGCGGCTGGAGGAGGCCTGCTGGCTGCTGGCATCCAGCTCACGCTGCCTCCGGGGCACGGCTGGGCTGGCTCCCAGGGAGGACGCTCGTCCCCGGGCTGGGGTGGGCAGAACCAGAGGCGCCCCTCACGCGGGGCACAACCCGCTGTCTCTGCCATGCAGAGGAGCTGACACCCGCGCTGGCATTGGCCTGACCTCAGAGTCTCCAGGGCCCCCGTCCCGACGCCGAGGGCCCGCTGACGGGTGACCCGGCCAGGGCGGCTGCGGCCAGGGCGCCCCACTGCACAGCTGCTGGTCTCCTCCTTCTAGTGAATGAGTATGTGGCGGAGACTTGAGTCTGTGCGAATGTCCTGTTTTTCGTCACACTTTCACCTGCTAATGTGCACGTCCACGGATGACCCTTTGGCCTGCAGCCGTATGACTGGCTGTTTGCAAAAGGGGTTGTTAGCTGCGCTACCTCCTGTTTATTAACCGGCACTCTACGGCGCTTTCTGCCCCGCTCACTGGTTTATTTGTTGTTTTTCATAGCAGCATGAGCTCATGAATATTAATCTTGTCGTGTGAACAATAACCCGTCATGACCAGCATGCTTTTGTTGTGTAACGTTTCCATTTTGGCCACGCAGGTGCCCCCGTGTCCTCTGGAGGTCCCCCCCCCCCACGTCCTCACTTGCTCACGGCTCACTTCTTGCTCTCTCTGCTCCCAGAGGCTCCGTGTCTTCCATTGGCTTTAGAAATCAAGATCTGGGTCCTAACTGTTCTCTGCCTACATAGTTCATGTTTTTGTTCTTGTGAATTTCATTTTTAATATTTTATTTTCTTGCTAGAATTGTAGGTATAGAGAAATATTTTTTGTAGAATTATTTTTTCTTTAACAAGCTAATTAAAGCTGCTAATTTATTCTCTAATATATTTATATTTTTACATAACATCACATCAAGGGCAAATAATGAGGTCTTATCTCTTTCCTTCAGATTATAATTGTTTTTATTTTCTTATGCCACTAGACAGCTCTGCTACTACTGGGCTAGAACGTAGACATGATAGTGGATATTCTTATTTCCCTTCAAACTGAAAAGGAATGCAGCTCAAGTTGTTCTTTACTTTCTTTAGATTTTGATGTGTAACCTTTGCCAAGTTAAGTGAATCTTCTGTGATATGGAATGCTGAAAAGTTTTGTGTTTTTAATTCATAAGTAAATACTGATGCACATTGAATGCCTTCCCTTACAGTGTTGGCTTGGTGAGATAATTCTGTGACTTTTCCTTCAATCACCCAATTAGTGTAGAAAAAGATTTTAATTACTTTTCTGTTAGTAAATTATCCTTGCATCCTTCTTTTTTTAAAAAAAGATTTATTCATTTATTTATACAAGAACCGGGGTACAGGCCAGATGTGCAGGAGGGTGAGAGGATTCGCCAGAGACAGAGTGGGGAACAGAACAGGCAGACTGACGAAATACACTGCTGAGGGGAGCAGCTGGCGAGACAGGAGAGGTCTGCCGCGCCATGTGTGACCCTTGCCGGCCGGCGGGAATCAAACCAGCGCTGCAGAGGCTGTGGGCAGCTTCGCAGCCCAGTGCTTAACCGCTGCGCCACCAGGGGAGGCCCCTTGCATCCTTCTTGATCATGATTTATGATTGTTTAAATACCATATTGGAATCTGTTAACATTTTATTTAGGATTTTTGAAACCATATTTTCTTTTTTTATTTTTTTATTTGCTCTTTTTTTATTTTTTTTTCTTTTTACCTTTATCTGACTTTGGGATCCAGATGACATAAGTTTCACGAAAATGAACCAAGCAAGTTTTTATTCATTGTAAAAACTGATATAGGATGACTTAACTTTTGGCATGTCACTAAAAAGGTATCAGAACTAATAAATGAGTTCATTGAGATTACAGATTGATATAAAAATTAAAGACTTAAATAAATAGAAATAGATCTTCTTTCCATGGATAGGAAGACTTGATGGCAAAATGGGAATACTCCCTAAATTAATCTATACACTCAGTGCAGTCACTATCAAATTCTACCTGACATTTGCAGAACTTGACATGCTGACCTTAAGATTCATATGGAAATAGAAAGGGCTCAGAATTGTTAAAAAAAAAAAAAAAACACTTTGGAAAAGAACAAAGTTGGAAGACTCAGATTTTCTGATTTCAAAACCTACTACAAAGCTACAGTAATCAAAAACAGGGTGGTACTGACACCAGGTTAGATACATAGATCAAGGAAACAGAATCAAATGCAAAAATAGACCTAACATTTACAGCACTTAATTTTTGCCGTACGTGCTCTCACAGTTCAATGGGGGAAAGAATAACCTTTTAAGCGAATGGATACTGATAGCAAAAGAATAAAATTGGAACCTTATCTCATTCCATACACAAAAATTAACTCAAAGTAGACCATAGACCTAAATCTAAGAGCTAAAACTACAAACTCTTTGGAGAAAATATGGAAATAAACCTTGGTGGTGTTAGATTTAACAGTGATCTCTTGGCCACGATGCCAAAACTGTACATCAACAAAGAGAGATTGCGAAGTTGGATTTCATCAAGGTTAAAACTATTGTGCTTCAAGGGCCTTATCATGAAAGTGAAAGATACTGGGAAATCACACATCTGATAAGCAGATTGTATCCAAAATAATGTAAAGAACCTTTCACAGCCTCATAACAGAAAGACAACCCAATTTAAAATGGGACAAAACCTTCCATAGACCCATCTCCAAAGAAGATGTATAAATGACCGATAAGCACCTGGAAAGGACGAAAAACACCAGCAGTCACCAGAGAAATGCAAATATAAACTGTAACAAAATAGACTTCATTCACCAAAGTGACCAAGTGAGACCAGGTGAGGTTTCCGGGTTCTGCCCTGGCACAGTCCTGACCCTTGGCATGTGTCCCTGTGCAGAAGTTTCGAGAAGGGTCCTTAGCAGTGGTGATCTCTGCGTAGCCTCTCTAGGGCTGGCAATAAAGTACCTGTCTCAAAGTCAGCTAAAAAGGATTTTATTTTTTTTTTTTTTTTTTTTTTTTTTATAGAGGCATGCTTTATTTATTTGTTTGCTGGTTTGTTTGTTTTGTTTATACATGCACTGGGTACAGTCAGAAGCGCGGGAGGGTGAGAGAATTCACCAGAGCCAGAGCAGGGAGCAGAGCAGGCAGAAGGACCGAAGTACACTGCTGAGGGGAGCAGCGGGCGGCAGGAGAGGTCTGCACGCCATGTGGGACCCTCCTCCGGTGGCGGGGGAGCAGCCAGGGATCGAACCGGCGCCACAGAGGCCGCGGGCAGCTTCGCAACCCAGCGCTCAACCGCTGCGCCACCGGGGAGGCCTAAAAAGGATTTTAAAAAGGATTTTAATTTTTAAAAATTATCTTAATTTCCATCAATCATATTTGCTTAAACTGAGGACCAAAGAGACACTGATTTATTGCACTGTAAAGGTCTCAGTCCCTGTTGGGGTAAGCGTGTCCATCTGGAGGGCACTGCCCCCCAGCCTTGCCTGGCGGGACAGGATGAAGAAAGACGTGTTTGAAAAGGCCCCGCCTCGCAGTGCGGGCAGTGGGCACCGTGTCTGGATGACTGGCTTAGCCGGACAGAGCGGAGACTGCGCCCCAGCCAGAGCAAGAGCAGTGGTGGCCGGGGGCACTGCAGTCGGGATGCGTGTGTCCCCTTGAGGCTCACAGGCTGTGCCTTAAACAGCGTGGCTGTCCATGGCAGGGCCTCGATGGCGGTGACCAAGGAGAAGGGAGGTCCCGAGGGGGCAGCCCTGACCTGGCCAGACGGTGTCCCGACCTGAGGAGGAAACAGCAGCAGTTTTGCACTCCACACGCCACGGCCACGGGAGTCACGACAGAGGGGAAAGGCTGTGCCCAAACCACGTTGGCAGCAGCTGGCCCCTGGGCTTCTGGGAGGCAGAAGTGTGAGAAGTGCCGACCAGGCCGAGGTGCCCAGTCCCGGTGTTTGTGCTCGGGTGTCTGAGCACATGGGGGGGCCTCTGTCTCCCTCTGTGCTGCCTGGGCTCCAGGTCTTGGTGCCACCTGGGCAGGCTCCTCCCACCTGGTGCCAGGCACTGAGAGGCTACGTCACCCACCTGGGCCACAGAGAGGGGTGGGCACCACTCTGCAGTGGCTGGACAGCCGGGTGCCTGGGCTGGGCAACTGCAGCAGTGGGCACCTGTGCCCTGACCCCAAACGCCCGCGCAGGTGGCACCACTGGGCAGGCTTTGTCTGAGCCCCGGGGAGCTGCAGTAAATCGGTGGCAGACCCGACGTCCTGGGTGGCCACGGTGCCGGCGGCCTGGGCACCTGGGGCAGGTCTTGCCTCCTCGCACCCCTCCCGCGGGGCTGTGGGAAACCGGGTCTTGTGTGGGCTACAGCAAGGAGGAGAATTTCCCGGGATTGGCTCCCCAAAGTCCGAGGCACCTGCAGCAGCCACGGCCCTGACGCTCGGAGCGCCCTTGAGGTTCACTGTTCCTCAAGCTCCCGGGTGTCGGGACCAGGCTGGGCTCGGCGACCCGGCGGGTGGGTGGTCAGCTCGCGGCCAACCCCGCCGCCGGCCGCGGGAGGACAAGGCGGCGCGCACCTGCGGCGTGGAGGGAGCGGCTCCCCGCCAGCCCGGCCGGCGGACCCCGCAGGGCCCGGCCACCCCGCCGCCCAGCCCCTCGGGGTGGCTCCCGCGTGGCTCCGGGGTGGCTCCCGGGTGGCTCCCGGGTGCCCACTCGCTGTGGGGAGGGCACAGGAGTGGCCCCCGGGCCCACCGAGGGCGCAGCGTGGCGTCTGCTCGGAGGGAAGGAGCTTGCGGCTAAGGCGCAGCTGCTGCTCGTGGCTCCCGCGTGGCTCCGCGTGCGAGGCCGTGGCCGGCGCCGCCTCCCCAGCTGCGGCTTCCCCGGGCGCGGTTTCTGCAGCCGCCCACGGGCGGGCGGACGCGCTCAGGCCGGCTGCGGCGGTGGGGCGCGCTCGCCTGCGGGCCTCTGGGGCCCGCGCCCCGTGTCCGCACCCCGGCCCGGGCGCCCCGTGTCCGCACCCCGGCCCCGGGCGCGAAGGCCCGCCTGGGCTCGGCAGCGGGAGCCAGCGGCGAGGGGCCCGAGTGGGCGCCGCTGCGCGCCGGGCGAGACGGGGGGACCGCGCCCCCGCGGAGAACACCCCCTCCTGCACCCCACGGCAGGGGGCGCCGCCGCGCGCACCTGCGCCCGTCCCCAGCCGCCCCTTTGTCCCCGCAGATTCGGGGAGACTCCCTGTGAGAGCGAAGTCCTCTGCGGGGCGCTCCGGGCTCCGTCCTGCCACTCGAGGTTCCGGATGCGCTCGCGGTTTCAGGGCGCGCGGCGGCCGGCCCGCGGGAAGGCGGCTCGACTGCTCATTTGCATCTCCCCGCCCCCTCGCGGCTCAACCGGCTCGTTTGCATCTCCCCGCCCCCTCGCGGCTCAGCCCACTGGCTCGTTTGCATCTCCCCGCCCCCTCGCGGCTCAGCCCACTGGCTCGTTTGCATCTCCCCGCCCCCTCGCGGCTCAGCCCACTGGCTCGTTTGCATCTCCCCGCCCCCTCGCGGCTCTGACTGGTCATTTGCATCTCCCCGCCCCCACGCGGCTCAGCCCACTGGCTCGTTTGCATCTCCCCGCCCCCTCGCGGCTCTGACTGGTCATTTGCATCTCCCCGCCCCCTCGCGGCTCGGACTGGTTATTTGCATCTCCCCGCCCCCTCGCGACTCTGCGCCGCCCTTTGCCCCTCCCGCCCCGCAGCGCGGGCGCCGGCTGCACCCCCTCCTCGGGCTCCGGCCCAGACCCCCCGCCGGTCCAGTGTGAGGGCTCGCTCATCCTCGCGCTGCACCTGGGAGGGGGGACTGGGCATGGAGCCTCTGCACCCGGAGCTACTTTGTCCATTAATATATATATATTTTGAAATAATATCGATTTTTTTTTAAGATTTATTTATTTATGGATACAAGAGCTGGAGTACAGGCCAGAGGTGCGGGACTGAGAGGAGTCACCAGAGACAGGGTGGGGAGCAGAACGACTGAAATCCACCGCTGAGGGAGCAGCGGGGAGACAGGAGAGGTCTGCTGCGCCCTGGGGGTAGCTCCCTGACCAGCCGGGGATCGAACTCGTGCTGCAGAGGCTGTGGACAGCTTCGTAGTGCGGTGCTTAGCCCCTTGCGCCCCCAGGGAGGCCCTGTTCACTAATGTATTGATTAAAGCCTCGTTTTCCCTGATTCCGTGTGACAGTTGGACCTACCGAAAGGCAACCACATGAGGATGCTTTTAAAACAAAATCCGTTTTTGCAAAGATCACGATGTTCTAAATTTGGAAAAAGGATGACTCTGGTCAAGAGAAATGATATAAACCCTAAAAGGACAGCGCCCTTCTCCTTCTTGGGCTTTCCGGGCTTAAGCATTCCTTGATATGCTGTCACCGGGGTTCCCCTCTCCAAAAACACCTTCAGCGCAGGAAAACGTTCCTAAGTTTCCTGTGGACGTTGTGACAGGGCGTCCTCTCCTGCCGTCCAGGAGCCGGCTGAGCTGCAGACAGACTCTGGTCTCAGGGGGCTCCTGCAGGATGATCCACTCCTGGGCCCTGGCCACACCCAGGCGAGCTCAGGGCTTAACTGTGAGGGCAGGAACATTCTAGAAACAGGCTTCCAGCTCTGCCACTGCGGTGTTCAGAGGGTGGTGAGAGCTGGAACAATGGAAACATGTAGTTGTTAATGTCACGTTGGTTGTGTGTAAGCGAAGCCGCTTGGGGAGGTGGTGACCTGCAGTGTAATTCTACCTGTGCTGCCAGGCGGTGGCCGCCGTCCCAAGGCTACCCGGCCATTTCGCCGTGAGCGCTGAAGACTGCACATCTCTGTGAAAGAGAAGCCCGTGGACCCCCTCCAGATGGAAGCCGTTTCTGGAGGAGCCCTGGCGGCCAGTGCCATTCGCAGCCGCCTCCCGGGAGGGCAGGAGGGCGGCCTGTGATCGCCCTGGCCCTGGCCGGTCCGGAGGGTGGGAGCCTGCTGTGGGGGCACCGGCAGGGCAGCCGCCTTGGGCCTGAGGGCAAGTCTGCTCAGCGCCTCCTGGAGCCTCTGCGGGCCAGCGGCCTCGTGTCCTTGGCTCCTAACCGCTTCGCCACCCCACCTCTCCCCACGCGCTCACGGGGAAGGCGCACCAGGCGTCTAGGACAGGAGACTGGCCGGGCGGGGTGCTGTCCCCGCACATTCACCCAGCTCCGCAGGGCACGCAGCAGAGTGAGCCCGTGTGAACCGGGGCCTCTGAGCGATGGAGTGGGTCAGCGCAGGCTCAGTGATGTGACCAGAGGCCCTCCTGGTGGGGGTGTTGGCAGCGGGGGGCCGTGGGGGGAGGGCAGAAGGTGGAAGGAAAACCTCTATAGTATCCACTCAATTTTGCCATAAAAGTAAAAAGAACTCTAAAAAATAAAGTCCAGGGGCCTCCCCGGTGGCGCAGTGGTTGAGCGCTGGGTTGCGAAGCTGCCCGCAGCCTCTGCGGCTCCGGTTCGATCCCCGGCTGCTCCCCGGCCACCAGAGGAGGGTCCCACATGGCGCGCAGACCCCTCCTGCCGCCCGCTGCTCCCCTCAGCAGTGTCCTTCGGTCCTTCTGCCTGCTCTGCTCCCCGCTCTGGCTCTGGTGAATTCTCGCACCCTCCCGGGCTGCTGGCTGTACCCAGTGCTTGTATAAACAAACAAACAAACAAATAAATAAATAATATAAATAAATAAATAAAGTCCAAGTCCATTCATTTTTAAGCAGTAACGAACAAAAGCAGCATCGCGGGAGGCGTCGCCGCCGTGGCCTGGCCGCCAGGGGACGGTGCATGAAGCGCACAGGACACGGGCGCCCGCCGGGGCTGCGGGCCACCGCTGCCAGGACAGGAGGAGGCCAGGGCTGCATGCAGCCGAGGGGCCCTTCTCTCTAGCAGTAATTTATTATTTTTAAGGAGAATGAATTTAAAACTTGTGTAATTTACCAGGAATTAGAAAGCCAGGAAGAAGTAGGCTATTGCATTTTTAAAAAACCCAGGAAACCAAAACCCGGTTAAACAGTGCCTGTTCCCTGCATTTCTCGGTACGGTGGGTGCCGGGAGTTTCTCCTCAGTGACGGCTGCGCACAGGACGAGGGCCCGCGGCTCGGCCAGCTCTGCGCCCGGCCCGGCAGGTGCGGCTCAGGGCAGACGAGCCGGCAGGAGGGGCTGGCGGGAGGGTGCAGATGGCGCCGGCCTCCCGGGCCTCGGGCCTGGCCTGTCGGGAGCTGGAGACGGGGCGCGCGCATTCCAGCCGCAGAGGTCGGGCAGGTGACACCTGGGAGAATGACCCGCTTCTCCCGGACATTTCCTGATGCCTTCACATCTGTTCTGGGGGCGCAGCCTGGGGCCCAGGCTGTCCGCTTGCGGGATTCTGCCCGGGGGTCTCCCCGGCACCTCCCCCCGCCCTCTTCGGCTTTGTGCTGTGACGGTGACAGATGAGCCTCAGCAGCTGGGGACGCTGGCGACCACCAGTCTGGCCTCCACTCAGCCCTGGTGCTCCTGGCACGGGCAGGCCCACGTTCTGTCTCGGGGTTAGAGACCATAAATCCGTGGGTGAGCCGGGTTTCCGCCCGTGCCAGCCCCAGGGGTTTGGGAAGAGGTGCTGGGGCCCTCGGGTTCTCAGCCGGGATTTTCTTGTCAGAAGCTTCATTCCTCACTGAACTGCTTCGGGGACAGAGCAGTCAGTGTGTCCCAGGGCTCCGCTGTGAGGGGCCATTGGCTCGACTGTGCTTTTCTGCTCCCCTGCGTGGGCAGCTGCTCCCTCCGGTGTGCACCTGTGCCCTCCTCTCAGGCGCCGAAGGCCCTCAGCTCCCTGGGGAAGCAGGCGGGAGGGCCTGTGCTTGGGGCTAACGCCACAGGCTTCGGGGGTTTTTGGCAAAACAGAGACCGACCTCTGCCGTCCTTCTAGCTACTTTCCTCGGCTGGACCAGGCCGCGCTGCGCTGGGGACACTCGCTGAGGGGCTCCCTGGCCTCGTCTGCCCATCAACCTGCAGAGAGCAGAGCTGCTCCCGTGGGCTGCTTGCTCTGCTCCCCAGGACCAGCAGGAGCACCTTGCCCTGGGCCAGGAGGGAGCTGGCAGCAAAACCTAAGCCCGGGATGGGTGCACTAGTCAAGCCTGTGGGTGCTCTGGGTTTTCCCCTGAGGCCCTGGGTACCTGACAAGTCTGCTGCCCGATCTAACAACCCCCTGCGTGTCCTCCGTGTGCTTGCACCAGCCGGTCAGGGGTCCGCGGGAGCAAGTGGCCTTGCGGACGGTGAGCCCCCAGATCCTCCCAGGCCGGGCGCTGGGGCTGGCGCTGTCCTACTTCCGGAGCGGCAGCGGGGCGTGTGGAAAGGAAGGTTCCAGTGGACCCTTCCAGCCGCAAGATCGCGGGGGCCGGGGCCCGGGGTCTGCCCTGGCCCTCTCCGCGCGGCCCGAGGCCAGCTGCACGGTCCCTGCGGCGGTGGTGGCCGGGGAAGGAGCCGGGCCCGGCTGGCAGGTCCCCAGCGGCCGCCGCGTCCTCTGACACCTGCTCCGCGGCCACCGCCTGACATCACGGTGTCAGGGAAGGCTTGAACAGGAGCCCCGCTGGGAGAGGCAAGACTTGGGCTTAATTTAACTTAAGGTGTGAATTTAATTTAAGGTGTTAGTGAGTAATATTGAATCCTTTCCGCGTCCATGTCACCGGGATATATTGCTTTTCCCTGGAAGTTGCTGAGCAAGTTTTCAGACTTCTCCCGAGACACCCCTCCCCGCCAGCCCGACCCCTCCCTTCCTCTACCCTACCCACCCCTCCCTAGGTTCCGCCATCCTTTTACAAGGCTGTTTCCGGCTAACATCCATCCTGGCGCCTTGGCTTGAAATAAAATTTGCCAACAGCTAATGCAGTATGTGCAACATGCCCGAAATGCTTGTGTTTTTATGTTGGGGTGTTGGATCCTCACAGCCGATAAATAAGGACACTGAGGCACAGAGAGGTGATGGGCCGTGCCTATATCACTAAGGCCACAGGAGCGGAAGCAGGGTGAGCGCCAGTAGCTCACCTGACAGCCACCGAGCTCCAGGCAAGGGAGGAAGGGGAAGCGGGGGAGGGGGGTGGGGGGAGGTGGAGGGGGCAGGTTAGAGGCACCTGGTACCCCAGGAGACCACTTCAGGGATAGCCTCATTTCACGCAACCGCCATCACCTCCAAACAGCCAAAAAGCAGAGGACACTCAGATCAATATCACTCATGAACAGTAACACATAATTTAATTAAAAATATGAGTCAAGGGGCCTCCCTGGTGGCGCAGGTGGTTGAGCACAGCGCTATGGAGCTGTTCACAGCTTCTGCAGCGCCGGTTCGATCCCCGCCAACCTCGGAGCAACCCACATGGTGCAGCAGACCTCTCCTGTCACCCCCGCTGCTCCCCTCAGCAGTGTATTTCGTCAGTCTGCCTGTTCTGCTCCCCACTCTGTCTCTGGTGAGTCCTCTCACCCCATGCATCTCTGGCTTGTACACCAGCTCTTGTATAAATAAAATAAACCTTTAAAAATAATATGATTCAAATAAATTTGCAGTATTAAAAGTATTAAAATTTGCAGTATTTGTATTAAAAAAGTTACCACAAACAGTGGGCTTTGTTCTTGGAAAGCACCAATAAGAGATTAAAGGCGGTAAGTATTGTGAGCCTTCAGACAGACAGACATCAGAATTGGTGATTAGAAATTTCACTGCCAAGGGCCTCCCTGGTGGCGCAGTGGTTGAGCACTAGTCTGTGAAGCTGCCGCAGCCTCTGCAGCACCGGTTCAATCCCCGGCCTCTGCTGAGGGTCCCACATGGCGCGCAGACCTCTCCTGCCGCCCGCTGCTCCCCTCAGCATGTACTTCGGTCCTTCTGCCTGCTCTGCTCCCCGCTCTGGCTCTGGTGAATTCTCTCACCCTCCCGCGCTTCTGACTGTACCCAGTGCTTGTATAAATAAATAAATAAATAAATCTTTTAAAAAAAAAATAGAAGAAATTTCACTGCCAAACCTAAGGAAGACCTTTCTTGATTAAAATTACAAAGAAATTTCTGGTAAGTGGTTGAAGACTCAAGACAGAAGCTGACAACATGGCCTACTGGTGTGAGCTTTCTATATTTTGGTATTTGATTATTACTAAGAAAATATAATGAGAATAGACTGGAAATTAAAGCTAACATCTTTATAAGTAGATTATATGATTGTATACATAGAAAAGTCAAAAATTTCACCAAAAACTAATGTTCAATGTTCAGAAAAGTGGCTCAAGTACACAAAAGTGCATTTTGTGCATCTGAACGCATGACGTTCTATTATATATTCTACATATAATTTTGCACTCTATCCATAAGGACTTTATCAGACCTAACTGTTGGCATCATGAGAAATATTTGTGCATTAAACTATGTGATCACAACAGATATTTAAAAAGAACTGGAAAAAGGGAAACTAGAGCATGTGTTTATAGGAAGAAATTCAATATTTTAGAGAAGTCAGTTTTCCCCAAATTAGCTTCTAATGGCAAGTGTAACCCAAATATCCTTTTGTAATGAAAAATATGCAGCTGATTTGAAAGTGAGAATGTTCTGGTGTAACTGAGAAAGGTCTGGAAGGGGAAAGAGACGCAGGGCCAGGGAGCCCTCCTGGCCAGCTGCCCTGGTTTCCCTGTCGGTGTCAGAGACTCAGGTGGGGTTTGGGCAGGGAGACGGGGCAGGAGTAGGCGCGTGCTCACCTGGCTGCTGTGAGGACGTGGAAATGGTCATGGTTCAAGTCCAAAGATGACTCCTGATTCTATCATAAGTTGTAGAGAGACTTTGGAGAGTTTACTGGAAGAGGAAAAAGTTGGCTACCTACTTTCTGATGTTTGCAACTAAGATGAATCAAGCCATACATATGTTAGAAAATAAAAATATAAACAAAGCCTTCATTTGAGGGTGAGCAGGGTGTTACAGCTGTCTTAGCGTTAGACCAAAAGTGAAAAAGGGCAAACAAAATATAATTGATTTAACTAGATGTAAGTTTAATAAACCATGGCAGGTGGGAAGCACATGCGTCGCGTACCCAGTGAGGGAGCGTTCATCTCTGCAACCCCTCAGAAGGCAACAGCAGCCCGGGAGAGAGCGGCGGAGACCACGTGAGCCACTGGACCCCAGAAACAGACACCCTGGTGCTGACGGGGTGAAGGGGGCCGAGCCACCCTCCCAGGGAAGACAGGCCAGAGATTCATTTTCACTTATCACATCGCAAAGACTGAAATAGTAACAGCACTTTTTGATGAACTTGTGAACAGTCACCTCCTGTGAAGTGACAGTTTCTGGAGAACGAGCACCCTGTCGCCATCGCAGATGCACACGCCCTGGGACCTGGCCATTCCACCTCGCGGGACGGACCTCCGAAAGCCTCAGCACATGTCCAGAGTCTCCACATTTTATTTCTTAATTCTTTTTTTTTTTTTAAGATTTATTTATTTATTTGTACAAGCACTGGGCACAGTCAGAAGCGCGGGAGGGTGAGAGAATTCACCAGAGCCAGAGCAGGGAGCAGAGCAGGCAGAAGGACCGAAGGACACTGCTGAGGGGAGCAGCGGGCGGCAGGAGAGGTCTGCGCGCCATGTGGGACCCTCGCTGGTAGCCGGGGATTGAACCGGCGCTGCAGAGGCTGCGGGCAGCTTCACAGCCCAGCGCTCAACCGCTGCGCCACCAGGGGAGGCCCATATTTCTTAATTCTTAACGTGAGTCTCAAGATATGTAGCTTGTGCTCGGCTTCAGTATCCGACATAATGACGTGACCAGGAATTCACGCGGATGGAGCCCACGCCACAGACAGGCCAGGACTGCCCAGCTTGGTTCTGGTGTACGTGGGGGATATAAGAACCTCTTTCAATCGGAAATTAGTCTAAAAAAAACTATTTTTTTTGCAAAAATAATAGCTTGGGGGCCTCCCTGGTGGTGCAAGGGGTTAAACACCACACTGTGAAGCTGTCTGCAGCCTCTACAGCACAAGTCCGATCCCCGGCCAGCCAGGGAGCTACCCACATGGTGCCGCAGACCTCTCCTGTCTCCCCGCTGCTCCCCTCAGCAGTGGATTTCAGTCAATCCACCTGTTCTGCTCCCCACTCTCTCTCTGGTGAGTCCTCTCACCCCCCCCCCCCCGCACCTCTGGCCTGTGCCCCAGTTCTTGTATGCATAAGTAAATAAATCTTAAAAAAAAAAAAAAAGCTTGGATCCACCAATATTTTGAAAAGCTGAACTAAATGAGGATCCATCTGTGTCTAATAAAATTTTAAATCATTTAGATAACAGCTTTTTCTTCAAAGAAAGTTATTGTGATTAAAATACGACAGGTATATCTATAAACGGTGTATATTCAGTTGCATATATAGTTTTTAACTTTAAAATCTACATTTTCTGATTAAATCAGGAATTTGAAATGAGCTTTACTACAAAAACAGATTTCAGTTGTATTTTTGGGAACGATTTCTACTTTCTTCAAACTGCCTCCAGCAAGGTCTCCCCTGTGCAAACGCTTCAGCAAGTTGCTCATAGAAGACGCCCCCGGCTCTCCAGTCCTGTGTCTATGAGGTTTCCAAGTCACCCCGGGCTCCAGGACTGGTGAAGTCGGGGGAACTCTTGAAGGATGAATAACTGATTTGAAAACCACACATAAAAGTAAGCTTGTCCCTTAAGAAGGTCAATAGCTGCAGCCTGTCCTGTGCATCCGCCCCTCCTTCTACCTGGCCTCCATGGGTCTTTCTGCCACACATATTGTAGCCATTTGTGACACTTCATAAAACCAAGACAAATGGTCATCAACCAGGAAGCCCTACTCTGGCCGGTGGCTGGTGTTGATGCTGAGCTGCCACTTGAAAACCCGAGGCCGGCTTCCCGGTTAACCACCAGGGGTGTCATGACAAGTGCGGGGTGCAGAGCACAGGGGAGCTCGGGGGTGGGGGGCTTCTGTTCTCCAGACAAATTCTGTGTTTTCCAAATCCTCAGTGTGCACTCAGTGGAAATACTGATTGGTCACGTTTTGATTCTGATTTTCAGCAGCATTCACCCACGCAAACAGCCCTCACGCGCACAAGGGGCGTCTTCACCCCAAACCTGTGGAAAGCGCGTGTGTAAACCAGGCCGCACTGTGAGGGAGGTGGGGCCGGTCGGCTTCTCTGGTCAGAAGCTCGTCTTGACTTTCCCCGCTGCCCTGACGGTCTCGCCAGTCTCTGGAGGATACATAAGTTGTGTAAGTTTAAACTTCTAACCACATCTATCTCTTTTCCTTTTTTGGAAGAGCAGTGTGGAAAGAGCGGAAACAGATCTCTGATACTCTACCCACATCTCCGGGGCGCAGTCTCGGGTGTGCACACCTGGGATCAGATTCCCCGGCCCCTCTGCGGTGTCCCGTCCCTGACTCTCGGCCGTCCCTCCTGCCCCCAGGGCTCTTCGGAGCAATGCTGACCTCGCAGGTGAAACGGACCTCTGTGAGGGTCACCCGGGCCCATGGGCTGGCCTCCCTCAGGGAGCCGGGAG